ATCCTTGCTGTGAAAGTTTTGAAAAATTAGGTACATAGTTGCAAAAGCTCTCTTAGATACGTATTCTATATGGTTCGAAAACTTGAGATTATCACTAATATGCACACCAAGATCTTTCATGGCATAGCATTGCTTCAACAGGACACGATTGATTTGGTAAGTCCACTGAGCTCCTCAACCCAAATGGAATAGTAAGCACTTTCTAAGATTGACGGGCGACTCCCAATTTATGGCTCTCGTTATTGATTTCTTCAGGGCTGACTGAACTAGTTGTTGTTGTGTTCGTTGTAATTTGCGTAAATTTTGACGTCAACTGCATATACTTGAATTTTAATTTCTGGTGATGCCCTTATGACGGAGGGAAGATCTATTATTAGGTTGGAAAGAAAGTCCTGCAACACTTTTTCAAATTTTTGATTTTAATTTTATCTTTTTTGGTTACAACTCCTGACCGGTCTTATATCTACCATGAGTGTCCACCACTTGTCTCCAACGCTCAGAAAATTTCTTGATGCTCCTTTGCCAAAACCCAGCGGAGTGCGAGTCGAGAAAGGAGGCGACCTCACTTTCGAGTTGGAGTTGATCGTCTGATTATTTCGTTATAAAGATGAAAGGTCCAGGATAGGTAGCACTTATTTACAGCTCGACCAGGGGATTACGCTAAGAGAGGAAAGAAATCTTGCCGCAACTCCAGAATTTCTTACCGGGCTCATTTCGGATCATGGTGATTCGCAATGTCATGAAAGAAATGAATATTGTCGCGGTACGAGGGCTCTTGACGAGCTACCTCGGCCAGCTTCTGGTACTTCCACAACCTAGGCCACTGCCTACACAATGGTGCCCATAACGAAGGGTATGTAGTGGAGCTTCTGTAAGAGCCCTACCTGTAATGGAGTGTGAGGGATGCTGCTGGCTTCTTATAAAAATATCAAAAGATCGGAAGCGCTGGTAAAGGTGAAACACGCTGTATCGCTGAACGGCATGCCATTAATCATACTTCTATAGCGGTAAAACCAGATCACAAATTTTTCGTCCTTGTCAGGCACCGTGATCAAGGGCTTGTAACGGACGCGAAAACAATACTTTATGAGTGATCGTCGCACAACACTAACCACTGATTTGAACGTTAAATATCTTTATTCCTATTATTCTCCATTCCAACCCGAGTTTTGACCTCGGCAGCACTTCTCCAAGTTTCGTCGACAGTCGTGACCGCCAGGTAATCGAATGCGAGAAACGACAGTCGCTTCTTTTTCTTTCAGTCGCCACCACTTGATTCTCGCTGGCCCACACCTTTCGGTAGTTTCGGTTTCGGCGGGGCGATCTTTAGCGTACAAATCAGTGGTCGGTGTTGTGTGGCGACCGTTTCATAAGGTACTACTTTTGCGTCTGTTACGAGCCCTTGATCGCGGTGCCTGACAAGGACGAAATCAATTTGTGTTCTGGTTTTACCGCTATAGAAGGTGATAAGATGTGAGTCACGTTTTCGAAATTTCGTGTTTACAATGGCGAGTTATGCATATTCGCTCGCCATCAGGAACGTGACCCATATCCAAAACCACCATGACAGCTATAACCGTCTTTCGTAGCGCCCACGTGCCCATTGAGGTCACCTGCGACAATTATGGCTTCTTGTGACGGTACCTCAGCTGTCTTCTAATCAAGCAAGCCCCAGAACTTGCCCTTGGTCTGCTAGGACCATCCAAGGAAGAAGTGGTATTTGTTCTCCTTTGATGACGACATCTTCACTGGTCATCGAAGCGTTCCACGCTCACTATCGAATCACGAAAGCGTTCAGAGACAATCATCCCGACGCCATTGGTGGTTTGGGACCGCCACAGAGAACGGCTTTGAAGCCGCGGCCAATGTCCCTCGACTTGCAGCAGGACCACCTCGTTTCCTGCACGGCACAGAAGTCAATTCGTCGGCGCTCTAGAGCTTCTGCTAACTCGTACGAGCGGCCCGTTAACGTGCCAACATTTAACGTCGCAACGCGAGTCTTCCATACGTTGCGGGACTTTTGGACTAGCCTAGTTGCCCCCCGATGCCGTCCTTGCACCGGAGACCCTCGCATACATTTCACAATCGCCAGGCTTTACGAGTGCGCCGTAGCATTATTTCGAGATTCATAAGCAGCATTAGCATTGTGATATAACGTGGAATTTCGTAAACCGGCCTGCACAGTAACCTGTCCCATGCATTCGAATGTCCGCGATCAGCTCAGCCTACAGAACTTCCCAGTGCAAGACGTTATTTGCGAGAGAATAAGCACAAAAATGGCTTACCCCATTCGATTCAGCGTATAAAGAAACCTACAAAAGAATCTTCAAGCAGTTTTGTCAAATTCCAGAAATCTAGGGTCAAAAATTGAAAAAATGGCCGTTGCAAAACTATACGACATAGCAGAAATTTCGACAATTTTTTACTTCACTAAAATTTTTCCGTAACACTCAACAGTCGTAACAGGCAGTGTTGTAGATAGTGTAGTCCACGGATTTACCGTAAGATGTTCTAACCTTGAGGAGCCGACAGCCGACATCTGACATTTTTTCTACCAATTACGCACGGATCCTGGATGAAGCCTTACAAACATTAGCAGAAAACACGTCAGATGTCGGCTGTCGGCTCCTCAAGGTCAGAACGTCATACGGTAAATCCGTGGACTACATTATCTACAACACTGCACTGTTATGACTGTTGAGTGTTACGGAGAAATTTTACTGAAGTAAAAAAATTGTCGAAATTTCTGCTATGTCGTATAGTTTTGCAACGGCCATTTTTTCAATGTTTTGACCCTAGATTTCTGGAAGTTGATAAAACTGCTTGTAAGATTCTCTTATGTAGGTTTCTTTACACGCTGAATCGAATGGCATGCCATTTTTTGTGCTTTCCTTCTCGCAACTCCAGAAACCCAAATTTTGGGGTATGTCGTCTAGTTTTGTAACGGAGTGTGTGCTGATGATATGATGCTCGCCAGCGAAGTTAAAGCTTGAGCATCAAATGCAAACCTGGTCCGACCGTCTGGCTATGTTCGGGCTCAAGCTGAACGTCAAAAAGACTGAGTACTTGACCACCGATTCGAGTGAGCCAGGCTCTATTAAGATCAATGGTACTGAGCTTACACGCAACAACATTCAAGTATCTTGGATCAGCAATCGCGTCTGATGGCAGTCTGGCTTTTGAAGCGAATTCTCGCTGAATGAGTGCAGCCTGGTCGAAATGGCGCGCGAATGACTGGCGTTCTGTGCGATAAGAACATGCCAGAACGTCTCAAATCTAAGATCTATAGAACCGTCATCCGGCCAGGTCGCGATTTACGGTGCTGAGTGCTGGCCTGCGACTAAAGAAGTCGAAGCCCGTCTCAGTGTGATGGAGACAAAGATGCTGCGCTGGACAGCCGGAGTCACACGATAGACCACATTCGAAACGATGTCATCAGAGAGCGATTCGGTGTGGCTCCGATTGTCGACAAGATGCGCGAAGCCCGTCTTCGATGGTATGGTCATGTTCTTCGCGCGAAAGATGACAGTGTCCGTAAGATCAGCTTCAGCCTTGACGTGTCCAAGAAGCGGCCAAAGGGGCTCCCGAAACAATGATGTGTTGCACAAAGACTTGAAATCAGTTAACATCAACCCTCTCGGGGAAAGAGGCGTCAACATATCAAAAAAGCAGTCCTGGACAACAAGCGGGACAAATGAAGAATAAGAATAAGAAGTCGTACGCACGTATGTGTATATTCTTATATTCATATGTGTGTATGTCTGTGTATCTTTTATATTCGCCCGCATAGTAAGAGTGATAAGACAGCCAATGGAATATACAAAACGCTAACAAACTTGAGAGCTCGACCCGACTTGCGCTATCAATGTTTTGAAATGGCATGATTACGATAACATCCCCAGTGGCCATAAACACATTCTCATCGTCAGCACGTTGTCGGTAATTTCGCATGATGCTGCAGTGGTAGCGAAGGGAGGTGGGAGGGATGGGAAGGCGAGAAGGAACCCTAATCGGCAACCAACTTAAGGAACAATGAAATGTTGAGATGTCATTGTAACGTCACGTCATGATTGTGTGATGCCCTCTATTACATGAAACACTTTTTGTGCATGCGCATCCCCTCCACGAAGTGTCGTCGTCACAAGTGGAAAGGAGCTCAGCAGATGGCGTAAAGCTCACGCAGAGGATGGAGGTTCAGACCGTTGCCGATTGACAATCTGTTTATTAATAATCTAGAAAGCAGTTGTCGCTTTTTCAGTACGCAGAGCACATGAATTACGCTGAGCAACAACTGCAAGGCAAGCGACTGGCTTCAAAATGTATTTTATGATTCTGCCCATGTGTTAAAGTGACTACTTTAAGACGTGTGCGCCCCGGAGAAGTATATGCACCACTCAAAACAGTAGCTTGGCTTCCAAAGAAGCAAGTGTAGCGTTTCCACTACGAAAGGTGCGTTGGTTGCTGAGCAAGTTCTGAAAAACGCTCCGGAATCTATCAATCCACTAGTTTAAATGGTGATTTGAGCAAGCTGTTTGCTGTTGGCTTTCATTTTGGAAGATCATTTCCCTTTTAGCGGCTGTATCTTCCAACTTGCCCATGTAATGCCTTATCAATCAAAACACTATGCTTGTTGGCATGATGGCGGCTATCGGGTTAACGCTCCCACACAACTATTTCTTGGGCACCCTCACCCACAGTCGAAAATCAAAACGAAACCAGGGTTCTGATTTGCGTATTCTTGACGGATTTCTCTGCTTGTTTCGCCATTGACGTACCAGCAATCCCACGTCCCCACTTAAACTCCAGTGACTATCGTGATCGCGGCTTTAGCTTTGTCAAATCTCTGGAAAGAGAGCCAATTTCCAGAGTACAGTTACCTCTCCAGCTAGGAAGCTAAGCGATTCCTCAACTTGAATCAGAATAAGAAGAAGCTTCGGTTGTGTAGTGAAAACGGGAAGTGCTCAGGAAAACAGTTTTCTCTGTACATGAAATTGATTGGCTCACGTTTTCAGTGCAAAGATGAAGTTGCGAAGAGCTGGTCGTTGTTCGTTCACAAGAACTGCAATCACAATACCATGCTTAATATGTTCGAAGCGTGCATCCAACTCCTTCGTAAGCTCTTCGTGGTACGGGAGAAGTGCGAATTTCTTTTCGTGACGGCAGAAATTGCGAGCAACCTCCCTCTGTACTCCTACAGCTGCATCCACCACAACGAACGATGGTTTCTGAAGCCACAACAGCTTTTTGACACCATGCATTTGAAGGTGTAGACAACCTCACCATTCGCTCCTTCCAGCAGCCTCTCTGACGGAGTAATGGTTGCCTTGTGTGCACGAATCCTACCCCATTCCTCCTTAAATAGTGCAAAATGAATTCAAGAATGTCACTTGCGAATGATATGCGTTATCAGAAAAATGAACAATCCTTCAACATACCAGGGAGCAAATGAAAATGTAAAAGGCCATTCTGAATTTTGTTACAGTGGAAGCACTTGAATGCTGTTTAGAATTGACGTTTCAGGAGATTAGGCGGTCAGACGAAGAAGCGATCAGACGACTAGGCCGTTAGGCAGTCTTCGCCAATCCAATGCGCGAATAGCGATTGGCAAAGTCTAACACGCAGGCTCAATCTGCCACCTTCGGTCAATCTAGAAAGATTTACGACCCTTCCCCTTCTTATTAGTCTCGCTGAGATCCCTTTCGTATTACTTAAGTGTTTGAATAAAACTTACTTAACTTTTTCTGTATAAAAATCAACAAGCCATCATTTGCTGCGTCGCGGGAAAAAAATTGAAATTGAAATCTTACAAAACTCCGAACATGTCTGGAATTAACGTGAATTCTCCTCGAAAAACCTCCGTCAAACCTGTCATAAGTGGCAAATTGGAATTTCAAAAAAGCACGCACTTCCTATCTTTAGCGGCCCTATTTTCTTTCATATGCAATTTTGAGAGGCGAATTTTTTAAACACAAGTTGCCTTCTCCTCCATAGGAAAATTTCCCTGGGTTTTTTGGTTATCGAGAAATCCTAGTGGATCTTTTAGCGCAAACGCGAGCTTTCAAGCTTTCAGACGTGACCCTATTTCAACCAGGGATGTCTTTCAGGAGATGTCCAGCTCTCTCGAGAACGGTTTTTTGCATGATATAGAGGCACGTGCATGGAACACAGAACTGTGGTTCATTTTTCCTGAGCGACCCTCTGAATACCAAAAAAGGAGCGAAGAAAAATTTCTTAAGGAACTGCCGTTCTTAACTTTCTTCACCAGTTTTTTAGCCAATATAGAAGGTTGCTGATGGTCCTAATTATAGATATGACATAAGTTGTTTAGGCCGACGCTATTTTTCGCTAGTTTTGAAAGAAACGCCAGCCAAAATGCGATAAATTGTTACTGCAAGGATTCTGTCCCGATCCCCGAGTTCATGCTAACTCATCGGCATCGGCGCCCGCATCGTATAAAAAGGGACAGACGGGAGGCCTTTGAGCCCCCGTCCGTCCCTTTTCATATGATGCGGGCGCCCTGTCCAGTTGGCCTCCGAGTTATCTTTCCATCTCGAACCTTTGGCGGATGCTGGTTCCGAAGCCAGCTCTGCCTTAGAGCTCGTTCTACAGCGTCGACGCTTTTGGCCTCTGATCCTTAAGATCAAAGAAGCATGGGAAGAAGTCCTCTTCCCGGCGAATTCACAATTGACGGGAAAGATATTGTTGTATTCAGTGGTACTGTAATGTGTTTAATGAATCATTTATTGATTCTGTCATAGCAAGAGTCAAAGTCAACCAGCAAGGTTATTCAAAGTGCGACCGTAGTCTCTCGAAGAGGAGGCGGAGCCCCGTGAAAGGGAGATGCGGGGTGAAACGGGGTTGGTTGAAACGTAAATTAAAGGTAGGGTTGGAGCAGAAGACTGCCACTGTCGCCGAAGCGTCTAAGCGTGCTCTTTATACCACTCCTCCCCCCCCCTCAGAACAGAGCGGTATATATACCTGTGCTAGTAGGCGCTGCCGCTGGGCATGCCATCTTGGAATGGATTGTAATTTGCACGCGGTAAATTCATAATGAAGGTGCCGCACACACGTCGGCACCCCGCCACTGAGTGTGTACAGTTGTATTGTGTTTGTTTTATAGACGAGAATATCAAGAATAGAATATGATGGAGAAATATACAGTATAAAAAATCATCAATATCCACATTAAACAACCGAGACATTACTAAGAAAACCATACAATTCTAACGAGTAAACCAGTAAAAAAACCAAAAAACCAGGGACGGTAGCAAACCTTCATTAATTCAGACTTAACGTGTCGAGATTAGCTCAGACCAAAGTCAGTTTAGATAACAGGTTCAGAGCGCTTCTCAACACATTAAGTCTTGTTTAACCTACAGTTAGATCATAACCAAAAACCATTAAAGGAAGCAGTCACGCTGGCTTCCACGCTGGATTTGCTACCCTCGCGTTATCAATCGATAAGGTGTGAGGCAGTAATTGTTGGACGAGTGTAAGCCCATGGAAGATATGATACGATGAGAAGAAGGCGGCTGCTTGATAAGAGGTGCACTCCAGAATGAAAACGGGACGATAACGATAACGGTATCATATCTAGCACGCTCTTATCGCACCCCTTTCCACATCGATAAGTCTTGGTTTTTGCTGAACGGAAGTGGAATTTCGGCTCCTTATCACTTCATTGATAAGGGGCCACTGCCACTGAAACTTTACGTGTTCTAACATTGGGCAGGACCTCTATCCACTCCAATACATAGCTTTCCTTATCGTTGCCATGAAAATTATCGTGACTGCTTCCTTTAATTAGTAGTTAGAGAGTTAACTTGTAAACCTAATTCGTAATTAGGCAGAGAAAAGAAATAGTGTGAGGTCGAGGAGGCGCAGACGCCACGTTGACCCACGAGTAAAAAGTACTCCGAAGGACTTTTTACTGGAGGGTCATACGTGTCAGACGTGGTGACTGCGCCTCTTCAATCCCGTGCTCTTTTTTCTTCTCTGACCAGCTCAACCTGTTAGGAATCAAAGAATGCAGCTGCGATCCATAATCTTCAGGTACTTTTGCAACCTTTTTTTTCTTATTTATTCGTTTCCTGATATTTTGTCGTCTGAAATCTAAAGTAGGAAGCTCTTGCTTGATCTGGGCTGGATCGCACTCTCCATTCTTTATTCTTTGCTTAGAATCTCCGATCGTTACTTCTGATTGCGAGTTAAGGGTACTTTGCTACCGTCCCAGATCCTTTTCGATATTATGCTTATCCTACATATATAATCGCTGCATTATGACTGCTTAATATTATATCTTGTCCTGTTGTTGTCTTCGTCCATCTGTCATGAAATTGATATCCGATCACTTAAAAACAGTAACGATAGCGCAGTGGTTCTTACATATGTTGTAGGGGTTGTCCTACTACTATACAGGGGTGGCCAAAAAAGAGACACTCGGCTCCACATCATAAATCACACTTTGCTAATATCAAATCGACTGCGTACGATCTAGTATTGAAAAACACCTTCTACTGTATCTAAACCTTACACGACAGCCTTCTACACCGACGACATCAGAAGATTTTCCCACGGAAATATAGTTCGCGATACGAGCTCAACGGGGTCGTCGAGGTACCATAGACCATTACGACGTCCCTGAAACGCTGGTCAAAAGTGGTTTCGCATAGTCACAACTAAAGTCTCTGGAAAGCTATTTAACAATTAATCTATTGAAGAAATTATGAAGCAGCTTCAGGCCGGAGCGATTACGTAAAGCCTCGTTGAGCTCGACGGTGGCGGTAGATGACGTCATATTCCAAAGACGGCGGGGACAGTGAAGGAGGGCCTGCTTCTGTTTACGGGGGAACACCTTAGGAATATTTCGCCGTAAAACTTCCATTAACATCGGCACCCTGTGCGACGAAAAGTTCGATGATGTGCGCCATGGGCGAAGTGTCTTTTTTTGGCCACCCCTGTATATAATTCGCTAACGTGTGTGTGTGTGTGTGTGTGTGTGTGTTTGAACGGAAATTCATAGCTCGAGTCACAGTAACGATAGCGCAGTGGTTCTTACATATGTTATAGGGGGTGGGATGGGGACACAAGTGGTACGTGATAGGAACTGATAACGACTGATAATAGCTGATAAGAGGGGCTAGAAAGCGAGCATCGCCAATTTCGTTTTGTCGTTCATATTGGTACTAGAGCGTCTATACTTACAAGTGTTATGTAGGGTGGTCCCGGGACATTGGTGGTACATGAGTGGAAAGCGATTGCAACTGATAAGGGCTGAGAAAGCGCGTCAGAGCACAAAAGTTGCTCAATTCCGTTGCGCAGCTTGCCTATTGACACCAGAGCGTCCAGACCTACAAAGTGTTATTTGGGATGGTCCCAGGACATTGGTGGTACATGACTGAATACGATATCAACTGATAAGGGCTGATAAGGTGCGTCAGAACGCAAAAGTCGTCGAATTCCGTTGCGCTGGCTCGCATTGACACCAGAGCGTCCATACTGACAAGTACTATGTGGGGTGGGACGGGGACATTGTTGCTTGGTGATTGAAAGTGATTGGCCAACTTGTAAGGCTATTAACGTGACGGCAAGAACGCAAAAAGTCAGCACAAATTCGCAGACATAGCTCAGCGTTTGCCACCTCGGCAGCGTCGCCTACTATATAACTTCCTATATTTGATTTACCTACATAAAAGGCACACATTGTATCGATATGACCAGCTACTCGAATATAAATTCGGCATGCCCCCATGAACTCAACAAGTTCGTCAGCAAATATAAGTTTGATTTCTAGAGCACTATCAAGGAAGCTCAAACACATTGAACAGCCTAATCCTTTCGATGTTCGTATATAGGCATATTTCGTTTTCGTTTTGAGACTGGCAGCCAGAAAATCGTATTCACAGCCAAATTATCTGAATTCAAGAAGAATTGCATGTTGTTACAGTTGAATAAATATACAGTCGATATCCGAAAGTTGGGGTGGGTGTGTCACCGGAAGTGACGTGCACTTGATAGAAGTGCGTGGATAAGCTGTTGCCAGCATGCTTTGCTGATAGCCAGCGATGTATGTTGGAAGCAGCTTATCCACATAGTTTCTATCAAGTGCACGTCACTTCCGGTGACACGCCCACCCCAACTCACCGATATCGAGTATACTTTAGCTTCAGTTCCAGACGTTATCACTGCGTATTTCCGATGCGGACTTCAGCTGAATTTGAGAAAGAGCTATTAACTAGATGTGATTGAACTTATGAGTCACGTGACCTCATGCTGATATTACCTAGCGGGCCTCCAGTTTTTGCGAAGACTGTTCGTGTGCATCGTCGTCGCCCTGATGGCGAACCGAAGAACAAAAACTAAGAATATTCGTATGTATTAGTGCTACTATTTGTTCTCACCCGAATATCTAGTTGAAACACAAACACACATATTTTTTCCATTTATTTCTTAACTTCAACCATTT